CCTCCACCTATTTCTTGCTATGTGGTTTAGAGTTGTTCCTTATGATGGCCCAGCCAAGTCTCTGATGTTACTTACTCAAGAAATTCATCTTCTAACTCTTCCATGTTTCCCTCAATCTTCCTTCCAATGACGTACTGAATGGATTTATCACATGATCTATCACAGCGCCATGATTGATCATGGCAAACTACCTGTACAAGAGATGGCAGCTTATGTCTCCTAATATTCAACTCCATTTCTCTTTGGTTTTCTTTCCAATGAATTACTTCTTCATTCTATCAATCCATTAGTCAGGGTCTGCTAGAATAAGCTATACACAAAGATAGACACTGAACTATACCAAGCGTCATGGAGGAGATGATTAACTTCCACCAGACTTTTCTGAGCCATGCTTTGATTCTTGGATATAAAAAAATGAAATGTGAAATGTCTCTACTCTTCAGATTTTTTAATATATATTTTTTGCAGTGAGAATGAATAATCAGGAGTAGATGGCAAGATGGGAGATGAAATGAGACCGGGGATAGGCTTGCCGTCCCTTTAAATAATGGTGTAGAAGGAATAAATCCTGGATATGTATGCAGTTTTCTGTTGCCTTCAGTGTCATGTTCCAGAATCCTGGTCTGGATGTGGAGTCGGAAAGTGAGGTGCCAGTGCAGGAGACAGCCGGTCTGGGCCCCTCCTTGAGCCAGCCAATGCCAACGCTACAGAGCTGGTGAGGCCCAGCAGTCCTGAGCCTTGAGCCATTCATGCCTATGGCAACCTTGCCTCCCCTTCAGCCTGGCTGGAAGCCTGAGACGGGCTGCCCTTCTCTAGATGCTCCACAGTCCTGGACATGGATCAGCAAACGGACTCACAGGAGATGCCAGAAGGAAGGGGACGTGCCTGGATTCAGGCTTGGGTTCTGTCTCCTTTCCAACTTGGCAGGAAGACGTGAAGCCTGGAAGGAAGGATCCTGGGGCAGATGTTGAAGATGCTGCAGTCCAGCTCCTACACTCCAGGGAACAAAATGCAGTATACCCTAGGAATGATTCATGTTGTTGGCCGTTTGGTAGCCTTGCTCACCTTCTATGTCCCTGGGAGCTCTCCATGGTGCTGCATCTTCTAGCCGCCTCCTGTCTAGACCAGCACTGAACATATTGTTCTCAATTAAAGTGAAGTTCCCTGACCCAGCAGACAAGGTCTTCCTCACCTTGAAATTTGGAGTCAGAGCAACTTTATGGACAAACACAAATGGCTCAAGATTTAGCCTGGCCTCTTAAGAACTCTTCTTTGGAAATGAATTCTGTGGAACCCAGTGGGACTTATTACTGGAGAAACACACGTAGCATTGCTGGCTGAGGAGTGATAAACCACAAAAGTTTCATTCTGAGATTCTAGTCTGAATGGGAAGTTTTCAGGGGCCTTTTGAAAACTCCAGGAGCTGTCTGGTTCTCTGTTCTGGACTGATGGGACAATGTGAAACCTCAGTATTACATTGATGGGTTTGGTTTTAGCCATGTTTGAAAAAATGCCATGTGCAGGAGTCACATGGTTGGGGCAGAAGCTTGAGATGTGGCAATGGTCATTAGAATACAGTTCCAAGGTTTTGTTACCTCCCATTCTCCAACCCTGAACATGTCACAGGAATCTTTCCCATAGAGAAAGCTGGAAGGTTGTAGATAGACACTTGTTCTCCAGGAAAATGGTAGGTGTAATGTTTCCACCATGGAGCTGGCTGGATAACTCAGTGGTTTAGGTACCTCGCTGTGGAGCCAGAGGTTGGAAGTTCTCCAATGTGCCTCCTGGAAGTAAAGCCAGCCTGTGTAGCCTTGAGCAAACTGTAGAATCCCAGGGCATCCCCGGAAGGATGGAACAGTAAACCACTTCTGAGTATTCTCTACCTAGAAAAACCTGGAGAAGGTCACTGTGAGCCAGAATCAACTTGACAGCACACAGTACATAATCCACCACGGCATCCCATGCCTTCTTCTGCTCCCTCTTTGAAGACTCTTGGCTGTTCACCGGACCCTGAATAAATGTGGGGATGGGCCACACCTCAAGGAGAACAAAGAAGCCTAGAGGGCAATATTTTAATCAACAAAATGCACAGTTCGGTCCCCGAGGCAGGTAACCTGAGGCAGGCATCAAAATAAATGACTTTGCTTAAAATGCAAAACTGTTAATGCAGGAAATAGCATGAAATAAACCCTCAATGCCTTTAAAGGGATTATTATTTCTTTCTGTGCTGTGGTGTTCTCACCCACCCATCCTGTCCTTTTGCGTGATTTTCCTATTTTTCTTATTTTGAAACAAAACCTCTGGGAAGGAGGACAGTGGGGAAGACCGGTCTGGAGATCAGCTGCCTTCATTCTGGATCAACTTTGTTCATTGTTTGTCAGTTACAAGTCTGAAGCTGGCCTCTTCCTCCTTGTTTATAGTTTGGGAAAGTTAAATGTTTTGGAATCCAACTCCCAGATTCCTCACCTGAGGCAAGAGCGAGGCAAGGGATGCTGCTGTTTCTCATCAGGCTCTCTGCAAATTGCACAAACTCTCTGTGCCAAAAATTGTGTCTTTTGCATTTGAGAAACAAAGCACACACATTGCAAACACATGGCAATTGGCTGATTTCTTTTTTAAAGAAGACACAAACACCCCATCTCGTGCTTCTAATCCTGAAAGGGGCCTGCATCAAAGCAGCAGTTTTTTTTTGTGGTGCGCCATCTGTAGGATTTACATGAAGAGTGCACCTCACATGAAAGCATTTCAGGGGCAATTTTGCTTCATCCATGCGAAAACCATTCTCTTCTCTTGTAAGGATTCTGACACAACATTTCACCAGCAGCTGCAGTGAAGAGGATCCTCACATTCATTCTAGTATGCATGCATGTAAAATCACTCCAGGAAATGCTGAGGCATGGGGTGGAACTCTGGCTGCTATTTCACCCAGTCTATTTCAAATGGTTTCTGTTTTAGGATGCAAAACATTTGCACCCTTTTTTTTGCACCCCTTTTTTTGAAAACACCTTGGGAGAGTTTAAGCCTTGCCTTCAGGGTGCAGAGTGATCAACCAAGTGTGGCAGACTTCTGAATTTTTGGTTAAATCCCTTTAGCTGTGCAACAGAAGTGCCCACATTCACAGAGCAGAATAGCTTCAAGGCCCTCAAATTAGTTCACCCCTTTTTCTCATCAACTGACACTTAAGTCTCTGATAACTCTATCTGAGACATGAATAGGAGAAAGAGTAAAAGGTTCCATTGCTTACAAACTTGAACAGGTCAAACAGTAAACTGACAATCATGACTGCTTTCAGTAACAGACTTCAACAGACTCAGGAGAGGCAGGGGGAAAGCACTTAGCAGGGAGGTTGGGCTCTCTGAATTCAGAGACAGGTAAGGAATGATTGGCTAATGCTGGATAGAATGACAGTCACCTCAGCCCATAAAGGCCCCGTCTAGCCAAACCTGACAAAGCCAGCATGCAAGGTTGCAAAAACACCAACATGAAGATCAGAAACCCAGGAACTTACTTTAAAGCCACAAAAAGAAAACAATGTTTAGTCATGTTTGACAGAGCACATGCTTTAACTCTGAGGGGCTCAATTTTTATTTTCTGTCCTTTTCAAGTTTCTAAACCTTATGGTAACAACACTGCTCGAAACAGTGTGAACAATGACTACTTTAATCTCCGTTTCTAGCAAATGTCATTTCTGCATGTCTTCTCTTAGATTTGTTCTTTCACACGTCCCATATCAGTCTTCAATTTGGAAAAGCCATGTTGGCATACAATTTGCATTTCAATATGAATTTTACAACTCCCCCCCTCTAAACATATTGGCTCTTTACATTTCTAAACGAGTGTTCTTTCAAAAACACGTGTTTGAATATGCATCTTGACATATTTTTGCAAACAGCATCAGAACCGTAGGAAAGCATGGAAGCCAGGAGATGGATAACTTCTGCCACAATGACTTGCTTACGGATCTGTTTTGCTGAAACTTAAATTTGGCACAAATTAGTTCGAAAGTTAAAAGAAGGAAGGAAAAAAAAATCAGTTAATGTCAAGTCTTGACTAGCAAATGGCTAGGCAGGATCAAGGCCCTCGTGTGCTTAAGTGCAAAGCTCCACATCTGGTTTAATAAGACTTCCCATGATGGTGGTGATGGGGGGCTAAGGAATCAATGGTTTTGAAACTTTGTGAACGAGGTATGTGTATTAGAGCAATGAAAGAACTGTAAATGTGATTCTGAACACGTCCAAATGTCATGTTTTGAGGCCTTGAGGCCAAACCTCAAAATCCAGACAATGGGCTTCACCATCAGAGGCTTGGAAGCCTTCCTTTGCTGACTTGATAGAAGCACCATCTTATGTTCTGAAGAAGGTCTGTTCTTCCCTAGAGATATTCCTCCAGAGTTCCTTCAAGGGAAAAAAAAGGCAGCCTATAAAGGAGACAAAATAAAACCAAATCTGTGCTTTGGAGTGGGGGTGTGGGGGGGACACAGTTCTGCACCTTGGCTATTCAAATCCCATGCAACCCAATACTGATTACTCTGATCTGAAGAAGCTTGAGTAAATTCTGATTTTTCGTAATACGTTATATCCAAATGTTAGTCTTTAAATTCATCACAGAATCCATCAATCTTTCAAGTCTGGCTTCCATTCCTCATATGCTCAGCCCTATTTGTGGTGTTTAAGAACTGCTGGATAGCTCAGGAGTTTAGGGATCTGGTGGGAGTTCGATTCCCCACTGGGCCTTCTTGATAAGGACTGGACTTGATAACCCACAGGGTCCCTTCCAGCTCTGCAGTTCTGAGATGATGATGATTAATTAGAATTTCCACTTTTTTCTAACCCCCACCCCCCTTATATAGTACCCGGGAACATGGTCTTTCCCACGAGGGATATGCATATATGGCACAGAAAGAAAGACAGGTTGATGAGAAAACAGAACTCTCCAACTTATGCTCCCTTCTGAGAAGTTTCGGCTTACTGAAATCATTCCTTGTCGGCTTTTCCCTGCAGAGTCGGAAACATGCGAGCAAAGTGCGGCTTTACTATATGCTGCATCCGATAGACGGAGGCTGTCCAGCAAAGAAGCTACGGTCAGAAAACGTAAGTTTTGTCACTCCAAGACATTCTGAATTTACATGGGTCACTTGGTTTATTCTGGGCATCACAGTTTTCCTCATGTTGGATTTCCAGAGCCGTAGTTAGGGCAGGGGATGTGAGCCGGGCCCCCGAAATTGAGACGGTGCAAACACTGGCTGATGGAGGGCCACAAACCCACCATGGCTATCTGCTGCTGGAAGGGTACAAATCTGAATGTCTGGAGACCATACATCACCTCCCCTTGTCCCTCCTTGGTTAGGAGGAGATACAAAATGGGTGGATTCCACACAAAACCACGACAGTCTTTAGATGCTCAGACCTGCTCCTCTGCATTGGTACATCCTCTCCCAAGGGTGTCCGATTTCACATCGTAAAGGTCAAGTTTCCCCTTAACATTTAGTCCAGCTGTGTCTGACTCTAGGGCACGGTGCTCATCCCCATTTCCAAGCCGTAGAGCCAGCATTTGTCCGAAGACAGTTTCTGTGGTCACGTGGCCAGCACGACTAGACACAGATTGCCGTTACCTTCCTACCGAGGTGGTACCTATTTATCTACTTGCATTTGCATGCTTTTGAAGTGCTAGCTTGGCAGGAGCCGGGAGAAGCGATGGGAGCTTACTCCGTCGCGTGGATTCGATCTTACGACGGCTGGTCTTCTGACCTTGCAACACAGAGGCTTCTGCGGTTTAACCCGCAGCGCTGCCACATCCCTTTCACATGACCCAATCTTAATCAAGGAGAACCCTGGGCACCAACCTTCCAACAGTACCAAGCTATACATGGAAAAAGGGACACACTTACTTTTTCATTTCATTTTCCAACCTGTTGACCAAATGACAGTTTGGCCCTGTCAAAATTTTTCCAGCCCCTGTGAACTGTTTGCCCTTGTGTGAGAATGAAAAACTGGGACCGTTTTTCTCTTGCTTTGCTTTGCTTTTTTGGACAGCGTCAGTGAGAAAAATAGAGGGTGCAAAACCTGTGTAAGTTTTGCACAAAACACAAAATTGTGGGGGGAAAAAACCCTTTGTGTTCTGTATGAAATACATGCTTTTGTGGTAAATAGGCCTTGTTACAAAATACAGTCTTTTGTGCTAGATGGAACGCGTTGGTTTAAAAAGTGTGCCATTTGTTGTAGTTTTTTGCTGAAAGGAAGTCCAGAACTATGAAAAAGTGCACAAAAATTCTCGTCCCATCGAACATAACGTCCCTGCCCAAAACCCAGTTGGCAGCTCAGATCCCAAATACAAGACCTAAATGCCAAACCTGAAATCCAGTTTCCAGTTGCAAAAAGGCATTGATGGAAACGAAAAGGCAAAGTCTGAAAGGTAGATGGTCAATTAGCCAGAAACATTAATATTTGTGCCTCCAATGACTTCTGTTCTTCCATTTGTCTCTCTTGGTGTTTTCGTGATAAAAATTCAGAAAACAGCCCTTAATTTGAGAGGTGTTCCATTATGAGGAAATGTGCTAAGTGGCCCTTTTGAGCATTTTGGTTATAAATGACATGGTTCAAACTCATACATTCGCTGAGCTTCCCCACTAAGCTGGAACGATTCTGCATTTGCCAATATTTGTCTAGTGGTGAGGAAAGCATCTTTATTTCTCTAATGGCACCCACCCTCATAATGGGCTATAATGCTGGCACGACATGAGTATGTGTACATGTGAGGCGATGCATCTATATATTTCTCCGTATCTCTATGCATCCATCTATTTCTCAGTAGCTTGCCAGGTCTTTCCATCCCCTTAGATTTTAAGGCCAAAGCCAGGGTCTTGGAGAAGAAACTCCATCTTGAATATCTTAAAGATTCACACGAATGATTCACAGAATGACATATTCAGAAATGATTCCCCCCCCAAAGCTTAGAGCAGGTATGTAATGAACACTCCCCATTTTTTTCATCCTAGTGATTTCTAGGATTTTGCTCCAGTGGGGATTTCCTCAACCATGAGATTTCCAGGAGCAGCAGTGGAGAGAAACACTGAGTAAGGGGTGTTCACTCCTCTTTCACTCCTCTAAGTGCCATAAATAAATAAATAAAATAATTCCCCCCCCTCCAATTGTTAACTGATGGGAAGGGGCCAATAGCAATGCTGCTCTGTCCTCCCAAGGAGCGAAACAGATGCACCCAAGCGAATGATTCGTCAAAGGGTTTTCCTTTATTTATTTATTTATTTATT